CATTTAATTCATCAATTTTAAAATATTAATAGGGAAAATATTTTTTAATAATAATTTTTAAAGGTATTTAATTCAATAATTTTTAGACTTTTTATCATATTATTGCATCATATCATTTTAAATAATTAGGTGAGATAAAAACACGCAATTTTTTAAATTTTTGAAAATTTCAATAATATGTCATTAACATATTTTTTAACATTTAATGTTAAAATAAATTAAAACATTGAATTCGTCTATCTGGAAGTTTTCGAATCTTAATATTTCTATACCATTATTAAAAAAAAAAATAATACTATTTCGTAAAAACTTTAGTTTTAACTTTTATCGATGCAATATCAATGGGATCATAAGTAAAAAAAAAACTTATCTACTAGTATATAAATAAAATCATTATTTATTAATTATTTTATATAATATTTTTTAATATAAATATATTGCAACAATTTATATATTAATGAAAAATAGATAATGTTATAAAATGGAAACTAAAAATAATAAGATTTTATTAATATGTAAAATAAAATTTGTTATATCAAATATATTCCCAGATGAGAATGTTTGTACTAAATAATAAATCATTCTCAACTTAATAAGCATTAGTAAAAGATATTGTAGTATGCAAATAAATTGCACGAAAATAATTAACACGTATAATAAAAAAACTGATATTTTTAAAAGAAGGAATATAATTATTCATGCTACGAGATTGAATAATTTAGTAAATACAATTACTAATTCATCTTTAGCAAGTCTGACATATTAAAAATGATGAATTTAAAACAAAATGATTGTGTTAGATTTTGTATGTACATTTTTAGTTGATTGCATTTTTAAACTTGTACCTTTAAATTGTTTTTGCTATAAATTAAGATACATAGTAGTGTTATTAATATACTCAATTTTTTTCAAATTTGATGTGTTATTAGTTCTAAATATCATCCTCGAAAAATGTTTAATTTGTCAATATTTTCATAAAAATTTATTTTGAATAAGGATTTTTCAATAAGAATTTTAAAATATCTATAGTAAATATATATATATATATATATATATATATATAATTAGAAAAGACGTTTGTTATTTTTCCATAAAAATGTGCTAATACGTAAATTACTTAAAGATCCTTGAATTAATATCCAGAAGTCGAATAAACTTTTGTTGCGTCATTATCTCTTTGTGTGCTGTTGTTGAATCATACGAAGGAAATAAAAATATTAAACGTGTTGACTTTACCATCTTAAATTGATAATAAGGAAAATTTGTCCTTAAATTTTAGAACATATAATATTATATTAAATATATAATACTATATTAAGCGACTATATTTTATTACAAAAATAGTGGAGAATAATACCGATTACATGGAAATGATTCATTTTTATGCTTATGACTATGCTTTATTGAATTTAGAAAAATTTGATACATTAGATTATCAAAATATATTGAATCTTTTTGTTCATTTATTTAATTAAAAATTAAAAAAAATATTTTATAAACGAATTGAATTAATTATAAATATAATATTTATAGTAATATTTACTATCGACTTAAAAACAAACAGTAATGAAAATATGAATTTTTTCAGATACATTTTGTTAAAAATATATTTATTATATTGTCGGTTGAAATATTTCCTTATCTGCGGAAGTTATTTTAGATTTTATCTAACTATGCCTTAATGATATTTAATAAAAAATAAAAGTTCTTCATTTGTCAATTTAGAAAGATCAAGTGTATTCATAAACATTTCTTGCATATAAATTTATAAAAATTGAAAAATAAAATATATCTTATTATATGGTATACAAGCGTTTAAATAAATACAATATATTTTAAATTAGAAATAAAAACTTTTAAAACCATTTTAGTATTGCATAGATGTTGTTTGCTATATTCAGTTTCAAAGATTATCAAAAATAAAGTGTTTTTTTATTACAAAGTCTTTTAAATGTTATGACGTAGCGTGAAAAAATTGTTTTAAAGAATGAAATGGAAGAAGTATATCAGAATTATATATATTTATAACCTTATTAAAGAAATATTAAAAAAATATATTTTCGAAAACAAAAATTAAATTTATAATAATAATTGATATTATAAAATATTAATTAACGTTTTTAAATTAATACTTTAATATCGATTAAGAATTATATCTGTTAAAATTTATTGCTCATATTTAACTTTGAATATATAAATTCCACATAATTAAAAAACAAAAAAAAAAAAAAAATAAAAAAAAACAAGGAGCGCCATACTTCAAAAACAAAAGAATAGCACGAAGATTAGATAAGAAAAAATTTGATCATTTATTGATTATCATTAAAAATAAAATTATATGTTACTAGCAGAAGAAAGTATAGCTTAATTATATATACTAACTAAAGGGAAAATTTGTAATGAATACGGTAATGCTTATAGTTTTTATCCATATAATCAATAAAAATGTGCGATAAAGCATCCTAATTTTCCAATAATTCGTCAATGTGAAATTTTCTTCGCGTTTTAAAAATGTGTAAGTATATATTAAATTTTATTAATATTACCGTTAAATATCAGAAGTGAAAGTATATGAAAAATTGATTCATATTAACAACGTTTATTACAATCAGAAGTGTGTACTTTAATTTTATGAGCGAGTATGGTAAAAACAATTTTTGTTTAATGGAATATACATCTACTCTTTGCGATTAAAAAAAAATCGATTTATTATAAACACAAGATATTAAGAAATAAATTAATTATATTTTCTCGTTTCAGTAAATACTATAGAAAATGTATATAAAGCATAAATTTACGATCATCTAATCATTCATTGAAATTCTAAAAAATTGATCGTTCGATGTTTTTCAATAGTTTGTTTTAAACTTATAAAAATTAATTTTTTCTTGTCATTTTTTTCAATAAATTTAATAAAATGAGTAGCAGAATAGTATATGTATATATATATATATATATATATATATATATATATATATATATAAATAATAAATAAATTGAGAGATATGTTGAAATAAATTATATAAAAATTTGTTAATTATGAGTTACCAAAAAATGATATTGAAAAAATGATATTGATCTATTATTATTTATTCCTAATTCTTTTTTTTCCCTTGATTTATAAAAAACAAAAGTTTTTATACTATAAAATTATTATGTTAAAATTGAATATTTAAATAGAAAATTAAATGTCATCGTCACGTTAATAATAAAATTTGCCAATTTTTATTAAGTGATGCATGATTAATATTTCATAAACATTTCAGTACTAACTTACACAGATTTACCTATTGATTTATGATTTATTATAATCTGACTTTATCTATTAATAATACCTATTCATAATTTTACTTATTTTATTATTATATACAATTATGAATATTATTTATTGCTAATAGGTGGATAATAAAAATTTTCTCAATGATTGATACGATTAATTTAAATTAGTTGATTTAATTTAACATTTAAAAAAATTACACGATATTTCTTTGAATTTGGGAAGGAATGTGTATTACAATTCTAATAACAAAGAGGTAGAAGCTTTTTGACGTTTCTCAAGTCTTATACAGTTTGTAACATTGTAAAGTTTCAAGTGTTCAAGTTAATTGCTATCATCATATTTATATCCATAAATTGGTCTTTATTTATAATTACTTAATGAAAATAAACTTTATACATTAATTTTAGTAAAGTAGAAATAAAATATTATGTATGATGTACATAGACAGAATAGAAATTAAAATCTTTATGTGAAATAGAAATTTTTCAAATTAAAATAATGGGATTAAAGTAAAGGCCAATATCATAATTTAATCTTGTATTAAAAATTAATTCATTTCTTATCTACAGGAGATTATTTAATTTCAGTTGAATTCATTTTTATATAATTATAAGTTATGAAAATGATTTTGTTTGATATGTTATCAACTTCATCCTAAACAAAGAACTTAATTGTTTGGGATATTTATTCGATGATTATATCTACAAAATCATTCGTGAATTCTTTTCATTATCAACGATCAACCAATTTCTTACATTCGCAACAGAAATATAGTAATCTATCGCTAGAGGAGTAAGCAGAATGATGCATTGTGTTGCAAAAAAATATAATTAACGTTTAGTTTAGGTCTAACAACATTCGTCATTTATACGTAGAGGTAGGTATTCGAGATATATGTGCGTACGTATGGATGGATGGATGGATGGATGGATATATATATATATATATATAAAAGTGTAAGGAGTTGATATGGAAGGAGAAAGCTCTGTTAATGACAGCGAATTGTTAACCAATGATTCCGAGTATCGGCACAAAAGATTTTCTCATGGCCGAAATGGCTACAAGTTACACACCCGATGTGTTACTCCGACTTTTCCACGTAGAGTCGACAAAATGTGTATGTATGTCCGCCGATTGGTGTCTTGACACACTGGGCCGGACGCTCGCTGATTCGCTACCGCGCTCACTCGGTTTCTTGATAATTGCATAAACCTTTCTCTTGGCTGAGCACGGCGTATTGCCCTCGGTATATACTACTGGCGCCGACAATTTGGCCAGTCATCATCGATCGCGAGCCGCTCGCTCGGGGAGCCGCGGTGTTGCCTTTTCTTTACCTTCTGTTCTTCAACGGGGACTAATATTATATCGAATGGCGAACAATTTGAAGAACGATAATTTTGCTTTTTGCAAAACTGAGCTCCTCCATCGCGCGATCCCCCTAATTCCCGTATTTGGACCTAACATAGGGCCCCGCGTTAGCAATCGTTCTTTGATCGAGCGCGCGGAAATATCGGTAAGCGATCATTAGCGAGTGAGCGGCGCTGCTGATTTCGAAGGTATATAACTCGTCGGGAGTGCACGTCGGTCTTCGCGAAAGCCGATGATCAATTCGGAGCGCTGATATGATTCGGATAATCCTCATTGGCCACGAGGGATCCTCGAGGTTTGACAATCGCAAGGTCGAGAAATGATCCAGCCGGGGGTGCCTGGAATAACTTACCGCACCGGATGAATCGACGGCTCCATTTTCCCGGGCTGCGGGAAAGCCAGCCGCGAAGGCTGATAACGCGACCAGCAGTAGCCAGACGATCGCGTTCGCTGTTTCGACCTCCAACCACACTGCACGCCTCGACATCTTTGCGTTAACTGGCGCGCGCTCGACTGTCTTCCGTGAAGGCAAAACGCACACCTGCTGCGTGGGCTCGGCTCCTTCACCTCGCGCGGCGCCGCATGTATACCTGACGGATACGGGAACTCAGTTGGAGTGACAGCGACGGACAGACAGAGACAGATAGAGACAGACAGATAGATAGATAGATAGATAGATAGATAGATACATAGACAGAGAGAGAGAGAGAGAGAGAGAGAGAGAGAGAGAGAGAGTATGTGTCTGTGCGTACGTGTGCGAGCGAGAAAGAATGAGAGTGAGAATTGAGAAGGAAATCTAGCATGTCTCAGTAATATTTTATTCTCGGTGTCCACTTCGTTAATGACCGATGAAGAGGCAGGGAGTCAAATGACGTGATACAGGATGTTTTTTTTTTTTTTTAAACACAATCGAATTCTGAATATTAAATAGTTTTTTCAAAATTTAAAATTATTGATGAGCAATGAAGAATTGAGATACTGTCGCCGACACAATTTATATATCATTCTCAACGCAAGAATACACATTTATTTTAGTACAAACAAACTATATTTTTAACAATTTTTATCATCATTTTATAATTTATCTTATTATTTTTCGGATTATTATTACGAATGCATTTCTAAATTAGCTGTGAAGTAAAGCTGAACGTATGATTTCTGAACGAGAATTTTTACAAATACAAATGATTAAATGTAAGAAAAATGTATTTTTAAACACTGTAAACGACGTAGTTTTACAGAAAGTTTCACGAAATTTATAATTTATATTTACTCTTACTCATTGTTCCCCAGATTTAACAAACTTATAATTACTCGATAATAATTACTCAACATTTTACCTCTGTGATCTTAGTGCGTATTAATAATATTACAAATTTAAAGCTAGCGATATCATTTCGTTATTTTATATCGTTTATGGACTTTATTTATTATTAGGATAAAATTTAATAATTAAACAATTATACAATTATCATGTTGTTGTATATATATTTTTTTTTTCATTTACTTAATTGCACCCGTTATAAGGAAATGTATGAGTATTTTAAATATAGTGCACATAAGTTCAATTTCGTGAAATTTTATTTTATTAAAAATTTATCACAATTTGTTATGTAAAATAGGGAGCTGAAAATTTTCTTGAAATATAATATAAAGAATTAAAAAATATTATTTTTAAATTCTTCATCTAAAATATAATAGAAATTCAATTTTTATCAAATATTTACGCACAGACTTCATTTTATCTTGCATATAATAAGAGCTTATTTAATAAGAAAAATAAAACGTATTTCGTTATATTTAGATTTATAATACTCTTGTACGTTAAGATATATATTTCAAATTAAAAATGGAATATACATTTAGAGAATTTTATTTAAATTTCAGTTCTTACTTTAAAGAATAATTATAAAGATTTTAACTTACAAATATTCATTGTTCGATCATTAACTCTGATTAATCGTGAAACTTTTGTTTTTGAGATATTTGCCCTACATTATTCTAGAAAATCATAATTTGATAAAGTAGGGGATCAAAAGTTTAAGTTTATAAATCTATTTTAAATATAACAAAATTAATTATAATACTATAGCAATTGATAAAACAATATGGAAAATGTGATTTACGTTCATATATAATATATATATATATAAAAATATAAATATTTAAATAAATATGAAAATAAATCATTGACATTTTGTTTTTAAAAATTGAAAGTATTTTTTAATAAATAAGCAACTAAAGATTATAACATGTTTTTTATTTGGAAGAAGTATTTTAGAAGAAGAAGACGTAGGTTAGATAGTTAAAGAAAATGGCAAATTAAATTATCGAATAAGCAAGGATAAGGATAAGCTATACTTTCCATTTACCAAATTTGTTTTATATTGAACTTAAACTATTTTAAAACATAATTAGTAATTTATTTTTATTTTTTAATTTATGGATGTTCAAAATATAAAGCATTGCAATTAAAATTAGTTTTATAAGAAATAAACTAGAATTTTTATGTTAATTCAATATGTAACACTTTTCGTTAAGGTTTAGAAAATGTAAATGAAAATTCGAGTCTAGAAAAATTATAAATAAATTCATCTTCCTGTTAAAACACGATTGGTTGTTTACTACGTAACTATTATCACCAGTACAAATAATCTTCATCATTAATTGTCTCTTTATTGAAATTGATAAAATATAAATATTAGAGAAAATGAAGTGGATAAATTTTACATTTTATTCAATAGATATAAAATCATAACTATTATTAATATTTTTTGTTAGCAAGCAGTCTAATATTTAATTATTAATGCTAATGGGTAATGTTTAATGAAACTGACTGAAGCAAGCATTCAATTTTCAATTCTATGTTAATCAAAAACATCAAAACTCATTTGAGTGTCTTTCTTTGTTGACATATTGAAAGTATAAAGTGTAAAAAGTAATGTATGAAAAACATAAATATCAAATACTTTTATAAATATGCTATATTAGGATATTATATCATCAGACTTTATATTATTAGAAATTTTTCTATTGGCTTTGGTGATTTAATATCGGCGGTTAATTGTTGCTCTTCCAGTGCTGACTACATCAAGGGGCATGAGATGGACTTCAAGAGAAAATGAAGTTTGGCACGCTGGAGTGACGATAGTAGAGGACGGAAGATTGAAAATGACTTTAATTGGTCTCAGCTCATTTTGTTAAACTTCTCTTTCACTTTTACGCATATACGCCCGTCTCTTTGCGGCTGCTCACTCTTAAAATAAATACATTGAAAAAATTGAATTAACAGAAAAAGATACGGAAGTTCAGAAAATACCATAATTAGCATGCAAATTAGGAAAATCATTAAACTATCTAGAAATTCTATATTGAAAAAGTGAGAAGAATTAGAGATTGGACAGAATACATGAATTGTACTTAAATATTCGAACGTTAAAACCATATTACAAATCATTTGTAACGAGTCTGATCACTTTATGTTTTAACATAAAGTGCAAGTATTAACATCAAAATATAATAGAAATTTTAATAATCATTAGGAATTTTGAAAGGAAAAAGAAATCAAGAGAAGGTCAGATATATTAACTGTATAATTATATTATAATAATATTGATTTTGTGAGTTTGCTGTAGTTCTGTCTTATTTAGACTGTTACAAAATGAATTTTTCAAATTTTCAAATAAATAAATAAATATATATATATATATATATATATATATATATCTTAGGTTACTATGTAATCTAACCATTTAGGTAAATTTATAAACTATTCAAGGTCATATATAATGTAAAACTAAATGTAAATTTAAATATTTTGCAATGTAAAGTAAAATTATATAAATTAATTATAAAAACTTTTAAAAACTTAATATTATATGATAATTATATGCCAACGTTATATATTTTTAAATATTACGTAATATTTTGCATCAAATTATACAAGAGATAATATATAATAATTATCCAACAAAAAAAATATACTGTCATTCCAGCAGACAATAAAATGATCTATATGTTTTAGTATTAATAAAAATGTATACAATTTAATAAAAGAAGATTTGAATTTAAAATTCAATACTAATTAAAACTTTCAATTTATATTGTTTTTTAAGCCTCTATTGCAAATTGTCAACGTGGGAAAAAACATTAAAGTAGAAACTAAATTCTGTTCATTTTGCAAACAATTTATCTTGAGGTATTATTATGATTTCATTAAAATAATAAAAATTGGACTTATTCATAATAATAAGAAATAATTTTTGCACTTACATATTTTTCTTATATTATTGATAAATAATTTAATGAAATATTAAGTTAAAATAAAACATATATCTTTATAAACTATGATGAATCAAGATTTAATCTTTTTACTTACCTTTTTTATTCTAATTTTAGGATATTAGACATTCAATGCATATTTTTCCATTATCTTATATTTTTTGATTTATTTAAATATTTTTTGTGTTATAACTATTAATTTACAATAAAAGAAATACAAAATTCTATAATTTTAATTAAAGTTATTCAAATAGATATTCTACTTATATATAATATCCATATTTTTAATCAAAATGAATACATTCGCATACTTCTAAGCACACATTGGTACTCGGAGAAACACAAATGCTTTATGTAATAGATATAAGATATAAATAATGTAATTTAAAACTTTATAAACAACATTTTATGAACGGGCTTGTGTTCATTCAACAATTTATAATTTTGTCCTATGAGTATGTATATTTTATAACAGTGTTTTAATATTTTACGTTTTGCAGAAATTAATGAATAACTATGATTATAATGCCATTTTTATATAAAATATGTAAAAATATTATGGAATTTAATATTACTATATAAATTGAAAAAACTGATATACTTTGGCAGTGTACTGATATACTTCCATATTGTATAAACATTTGGGCAGTTAAGGTTACCGCTGTTTTTATCCATTCATTTCATTAATTATTAAAAATATTATTGATAAAATTTCATTGAGTAGATGATTTTAATTGTTTTTAGGAATTAAGTTATGTCGATGAAAATGTATTAAAAGTAGTGTTTTGTTCAAATTATATCTGGTTTACAATTTTGTGCCAATAAATATTTTATTATTGTATTATTTGTGAAACATGTTTAAACACTAATTAATCTTCAAACAATTGTAATTATAATTATATAATTGTATAAACATTATATATCAGAAATGCATGTGATCCAAACATTATTAACCTTATAATAAAAGGTACGGATTTACAGGAATAGGAATGTCATTAATTTTTATTCAATAAATAGTTTTTCTATATTTTCATTAAATTTTTTATTATATTTGTTTTATTTATCAAATAGATAGTGATTAGGAATTTTCATGTGTTTAAATTACTATTCATCGATTTTAGTTTATTCTATCACAAAAGTACAAAGAACATTGAATATGATAAGTACCTATGTATATATGCATATATATACACACACACACACACACACACACACACACACACACACACATATACACAAACAGACAAAAATATATATATGCATGTCCAAAGAA